GGCGCCCAGGTGGCTCAGTCGGGGTTGAGCGTCTGACTCTTGATTTTGACTTAGGTCATGACCTCAGGGTCATGAGATCGAGCCCCATGTCGGGCTCCACACTCATCGGGGAGTCTGCTTGAGATTCTCTCCCTCTCTCCCCCTGCACCCCCCCCCCATGTGCACGATCTCTCGTTCTCTCTCTAAAATAATAAATAAATCTTTGAAAAAAAAAAAGAACCTTACGTTTAATCTTCACAACAACTTTCTGCCATAGGTTCTAATTATAATTCTCCTTTTTCACTAACTAGGAACTCTTGGCTAACTCAAAGACACCTCTGATTTAAATGTTCAAAATTGAGCTCATGATTCTCACCCCACGTCCTGACCTTTTCCATTGTTCCTCATCTCTGAATGACCGCACTATCATGTAGTTGGACAAACCCCAAACCTAAAGAAAGATGTTCCTTTCCATCATCTTCTCTCTCCATTAACATGTATTCGGATCCTGGTAACAAAATCCGTCTAACAGTGATTTTGGGTAAAAATAAAGGAAATCATCTCACAAACAAGTCTACAGTTATTCTAAAGAGTTGGTGGAACAGGGGCATTATTGAGGCCAGGCCCTTTCTTCCTTCAACCCTGTGGACCTCAGCATGTCCACTTCTGTCCTCAAGCTTGTTGTCTCATGATCGAAGGTGGTTGCCTCAATTCCAGGCAGAGTCTGTATTGCTTGTTCTTCTTAAATGTTTATTGTGGTGAAATTCACATAACATATAGCAAACCACTTTAAAATGTACAATTCAGTGGCATTTAGTGCATGCACAGTGCAGTGTACCCACCAGCTATCTTTAGTTTCAAAACTTTGTCATCACCCCAGAAGAACACACCATTACCCACTGAGTAATTACTCCCCTTGTGCCCCCACCCTCATCCCCTGACAACTTCTAATCTTTCTGTCCCTATGGATTTGTCTATTTTGGACATTTCATTTAAAAAAATTAAACAATATGTGACCTTTTTTGTCTGGCTGCTTTTACTTAGTGTAGTTTTTGAGGTTCATACAAGTTTTTTTTTTTTTTTTTTAAAGATTTTATTTATTCATTCGACAGAGAGACACAGAGAGAGAGGGAACACAAGCGGGGAAGTGGGAGAGGGAGAAGCAGGCTTCCCACAGAGCAGGGAGCCCGATGCGGGGCTCGATCCCAGGACCCTGGGATCATGACCTGAGCCGAAGGCAGACGCTTAACCGACTGAGCCAGTCAGGCGCCCCGAGGTTCATACAAGTTTAAGATGTATCAATACTTCACTCCTTTTCATAGCTGGTAATATTATATTATATATACAATTTGTTTATCCATTCATCTGCTGATAGACATTTGGGTTGTTTGTACCTATTGGCCATTGTGAATTGTGCTTATTTTTTTCTTTTTAAAAAAATTAATTTTTTAAATTCCAGTGTAGTTAACATACAGTGTTATATTAGTTTCAGGTGCCCAGTGTAGTGATTCAACACTTTTGTACATTACTCAGTGCTCATCATGATTAAGTGTACTCTTAATCCCCTTTACCTATTTCACCCATCCCCCACCCACCTCCCCTCTGGCAACTACCAGTTTGTTCTCTATCTTTAAGAGTCTGTTACTTCTTGAATTCCACATATGAGTGAAATCATATGATATTTGTCTCTCTGACTGACTTACTTCACCTAGCATTATCCTCTCAATCCATCCATGTTGTTGCATATGGCAAGAATTGTGCTGTTATGAACATACATGAACACATATTTGTTTGCATACCTGTTTTCAATTCTTTTGAGCACATACCTAGGAGTAGAATTGTGGGTCATATGGTTTACTGTTTTTTTGAGGAACTGCCAAACGATTTTCAACAATGGCTGCATCATTTTACATTCCTACCAGCAATGTACGAGGGTTCCTATTTCACTACAGCCTCTAGAACACTTACTTCCATAAAAAAATTATTCTAGCCTTCATAGTGAGTGGGAAATGGTATCTTACTATGGTTTTGATTTGCATTTCCTATTGACCAGTGATGTTGAACATCTTTTCATGTGTTTGTTGGCCACTTGTTAATCTTTGGGAAAATGTCTAAAATTACTAAAGTCCTTTGTCCATCCTTTAATTGGGTTGTTTGTCATTTTGTTGTTGTTGAGTTGCAAGTTTCTTACATAGAATGGGCACCAAATCTCCATCATCTATATGATTTGCAAACATCTTCTCCCATTCTGTAGATTGTCCTCCCACTCTCTTGATGATGTCCCTTGTTGCACAAAAGTTCTGAATTTTTAAGAGGTCTAATTTATTTATTTTTTTGTGCTCAGGCTGTGGCGTCTAATTCAAGAATCCATTGTTGAAGGCAGGGTCATGAAAATTTGCCTCTGTGTTCTCCTTTAATAGTTTTAGTTTTAGCTGCAATATTTAGGTCATTGATCTATCCTTAGTTTTTGTATGTGAAGTTGAGGTCCAACTTCATTTCTCTGAGTGTGTTTATCTAGTTGTCCTAGCACCATTTATTGAAGAGACTGTTCTTTTCCCGTTTTAAGTATCCTGGCACCCTAGTCAAAAATGTATGGTCCATAGATGTTTGCGCCTATCCCTGGACTCTCTCCTTCACTCTGTTGATCCCAATCTAACCTTCTGCTAATAATACTATGCTGTTTTGATTACTGAAGTTTTGTAGTAAGTTCTGAAATAAGGAAGTGGGAGGCCTCCAACTTTGTTTTTCTTTCCAGTATTGTTGTGGCTATTTGGGGCTTTTTGCAATTCCATGTACATTTGAAGATTGATGTTTCCATGTCTGCAATAAAAGTCGGAATTTTGATAGGAATTGCATTCAGTCTGTAGATTGCTTTGGGGGGTATTGTCATATTAATATCCAGTCTTCCAGTTGATGAACATGGGATGCCTTCCCATTTATCTTCCCATTGTATCTTCTTTGATTTCTTTCAGCAATGTTTGTAGTTGTCACTGTGCAAGGCCTTCACTTCCTTGGTTAAATATATTCCTGGGGGTTTTATTCTTTTGGATGCTGTTCTAAGTGGAATTGTTCTCTTAATTTTCTTTTCACAATTCTTGTTGCTGGTATATAGAAACACAACTGATTTTTGTGTATTGATCTTGTACCATGCAATTTTGCTTAATTTGTTTATTAGCTCTCATAGTCCTTTTGTGGATTCATTGGGATTTTCTGTATGTAAATCAAGGTTGTGTAAAGCAAGGTTGTTGATTGGAGATCTTTCTTCTGTTTTAATATAGGCATTTACTACCCATTACCCTCTGAGTACTGCTTTCACTGCCCCTCATTGGTTTTATTATGTCTGTTTTCATTTTCATTCATTTCAGAATATCTTCTGATTTTCCTAGTGATTCTTCTTTGATCCCTTGGTTGTTTAAGGTTATGTTGTTTAATTTCCACATACTTGTGATTTTTAGATGCTGCAAGTGCCTAACTAGACTTTAGAGTTCTGAAATAGTGATTCTGACAGTTCTTGCCAGCTCAGTAGCTGTTTTGGTGTAGGGCCTGATTCCTGGAGCTTCCTACTGTGCCATTTTCTGTGATGTCACCTGTATTTATTTTTGTTGAGGTAACAGTGTCAATATTAAAATGTCGTACTAGCATATTAAAAAAAAATTGTTTAAGTGAAGCTGCTATGGATATAAATGGTGTATGTATGGAATTACTTTTTACAGATTATTTGCCATTACATCTGTCCCTCTCATAAATTAGGATAGTTGAACAAGAAGATGAAATTTTTGCATGTATATGTAGTTTCATCACTGTATATCACTACATTTTATCTTGCGGCTGTGCGGAGAAAATGGCATTTCTTTACTGTATCTGTAGTTAGTCTAGTTTTTCTCTTTCTTGCAGCTGTGCGGAGAAAATGGCATTTCTTTATTGTATCTGTAGTTAGTCTAGTTTTTCTCTTTCTACTCCATACCGGAGGAGACCCATTGATTAACTAGGGGAAAAATCCAATACAATTTAAAACTTAGTCTAGTACAATGACTTAAATAGTGTGAGATAAAGATACTCAGTCTTTGTCTGCTTTTTACCCTGGATGATTTAAGTGTTTGGGGTGAGGGATGTGGCCTATATCATCTCCCACCAGTGGGGAACTGCTTGTTTCCCTTGGTTTGATTTCTGCTACCTCCTTTGGCCTCTGGAAGAATGTTCCATTACCTTCTAGATGTGTTTGCCTTGCTGGCCTGTGCAGATGATGTCATGGCTAGTGTAACTCATGGTGGGGCCTTTCTGGTTGGTGAGAACCTAGTGGTGCTCCCTGACTGCTTCATTTTCTCTCTGGCTCCTTCTCTCTGAGCTCCTCTGGGTCTCTTCCATGTCTGTATCTGGGCCTACTGGCCCGGAACTTCATCCACAGCCTTTGCTGCAGGATTTCCAGGTTCCATCTGGGCCCATTGGTCAGCCTTCTAGCTCAGGAATCTGAGTCTCAGAGTTTACATTACCTGACCATGACTGGAAAAATCCTCTCTCAAGGCAATGGCATGGCCTGTGAGACTATGGATTTACTGTGTAACCCTTCTGTGTATGTAAGATGCTTCATTTTATCTCTTCACACTTCCTTTACTAGTAAAACCTAACAACTCCCTGGACAGATGAATGCTTCCAGCAGACTAAGGCAAAGGTCACAAACTTGGACACGCAAAACAACAACAAAAGTAGTAATTTTCAAACACTTTCACTGTTGCATGTGTGTATGTAGACATATGTGAGGATAATACTTCAAGAGTAATGTAATTCTAAGTGTACACAAGCCTTAAATTTAAGGAATATACAATCTATGAAGAGGCATAAGTGGTGTGCATATATATATTTATATATAAGTAAATATTTATAGTTGAGATCTATATGTATATAAAATATATATAGTTAAGATGTGTATAGGTAAAGTCAAGAGGTTTGGTTTCTGTCTGTCAACATTTTCCCATGACTAAAAACGCTGTGATTGTTAACACACATATTTTTTCCTTTTGCAGGACCGTTCGTGTATGGCTAAAGAGAGACAGTGGACAATATTGGCCAAGCATATACCAAGTGATGCCTTGTAAGTATCTGGATCTCGGTCTTTAAAAATCAGACATGGACCCTACCTCCCCTTCCTTTCCAGATTGCCTTCTCTGTATTTTCTTCTTGAGTAGGGATGTCTGAGGGTTGGGATTATCATTATAATGGAAAGTACCATATTCAATCATTTTAGCTCTCAGTATGTAAAATAAGAAAATTGTTCTGACATTGACTATATATTCATAGTTTCTGAATAAGATTAATGGAAGAAGGACTACAGCACACAGGCTCTCTGATTACAGCTGTCCCCCTCTTTTCCAACTTTTTGTTTAACTTTTTTGTGGAGTACTTCCTTCAACATTTAAAATTTTGCCCAGTGATTACATTTGTGAAGTAAGTTTGTTCTTGCGTTTTTGTTATGTTAGTCATTCAAATACAAGACAGTCAGCTTGATGATTTAGTTCTCACAAGGATTTGCTTAAGATTGAAATATTCTAATTGGAGGTTAATCTCATTTTCTCAAGCTCTTATATGAGAAATATGTCCTTGTGCTGATAGCTAATCTTTGAAATATATTTAAAAATATATATATATGACTGATTCTTAGATTGGTGTGCTGGCAGAAGTTCTCCTACAGGGAGAGAAGAGCTGGCTCCTCAAAATAGGAAATTTCTTTTTAGTCTGATGTTTTATTGTTAAAAATTAGTGAAGGTTGGGCATCCTGTTCCGTGTTTATTTGAGTATAAGATAATTATTTAAATTCATTATTAGTTATATTAGTAAACATTTCTCTGACTCCCCTTCCTTCAAATCTTAATTAAAATTGACACCCTAGAAAAATCCCTCAGGTTTGTTGTTTGGGCCCAGGTACCCTCTGGCTTGCTGCAGTGTGCACCTCTTCCCTTGATATGAGTATCCTGATTTGGGAAATATATGCCACAGTGTACAGCCAAAATAAATTCATGCTAAATTGTAGATGTGATTACGTTTACGCCTCTGGCAACAGAATACTGTGGTAACTTAAACAGCAATTTTGCTTGTTGATGAACAAATGAATTATTAAGGATATAATGGCTTTCTGTGATTTTCAAATTATCTTTGAGGTTTTGCATATCTTTAGAATTTTATAGTAAATAAATGATAACCACGAAGCTGAACCAAGTGGTCAATCCTGCATTGGGGAAGAAGAAAATTCTTGTGATTCTTATATTGGCCCCTGACCTGTTGTGCCTCCAGCAGACGGCATTCAATAGCAAAAGGCCTAAGTGAACTTTCTCTTTAAGCTGTGGCAGTGATGAGGGCTCAGGTAAAAGGAAAGGGAAAGGAATTCTCTGATGGACTGTTTTTCCTGATCTTTGAGTGATATAACCAGTCTTATCCGTGATCTTGCTTTTTTCATCAACCTTAACACGATATCTAACTAGAGGAGGTGGGGAAGGTCGGGATGTCTGTCACTCCCATGACCATGAAGACAGAGGAGAGTCAGATCTGAGCAGAATGATGAGAGCTCGGGGATGGTGAGCAAGGAATCTTCTTGAGATGAACACAAATAGGAACTTCATGGAGACACAGGATCCTAAACAATTGCTTCTCTGCCCCCTTCCCCATACACACATATCCACAAACATCAGAGAATGATGTTCTCTTTATTTGAATATCACTGAGAATACAAAGAAGCCTCTGCTTGCATTTTTATCATTTATGAAGCTGTATGAATAACTATAGGTTGCTGTAGCTCCTACACCAGGCAGAAGTGCTCAATACATAAATACTTATTGCAGACTTGAATCTGATAGTAAAGAAGAGTGCTGAGAACAGCATCGGACATTTTCCTAGTGATTGAACACAGTCTTTGAGAAGGAGTACCCTTGAATTATTTGCATATTTTGCCTATAGCCTTCTACCAAAGGGAGTGAAAAAGGCATTACTTTGCTATTAAAATGTGTTTCGACCAGTTACATTAGGGTCACGTGAGAACTTACTAGAAATGCAGATATTGGGTTCCATGCTAGATCTACTGAATCAGAATCTGCATTTTTACTAAGATGCCCAGGTGATTTGAATGTCCTTTAAAGTTTGAGAAGATTGTCTTCTGGCATCATAGGCAACGTGCTGATCTGTTTACACACATTTATATGAACACATAGAAAGCCTTGTGCATATATAGTATTGATTTATAAATACATAGATTTAAGTATACATTATAAGTACACATTCTCGCGGATCAAACATTTATTGTGCACTTGCTGTATACAGGCCATTGAGCTAGTTGCCAGGGTTTGCAGATGAATGAGGTGCGTGTGGTCAAGGTGATTTCCATAATCTTCCATTGTTGGATGGCTACCACTACCACAGAGAGGTGAAAGAACAGAAGGCTATGTTCTTTACATAGCCTTGGCTTTTATGTTCCTAGGAATTGAATGCATTCAGACAACAGAGTAGCTGATCTTTGAGCAAGAGTCCATTTTGTTTAACTTGAGAGAGGCAGGATCTTACTGCATAAGGAATTATGCTATATTTTTGGACAGTTAGAAAACCTGAAATAGCTTTGAATTTCCAAAGGATTGTTTTGCATTTCTTTCTATTGAAAGGTGTTTTGTTAAGAGATTACTTAGTCTTATCCTTAAATAACGGTTCTGTGGTATTAGTTAAAAATAAGTAGAAAGGTACAGGATATCTGGAGGCTATGACATGGACATCACAAGGCAGATATGACCATATGATGTGTTTATAGTGGTATATAATAAGTAGTATTCCAAATCCAGAAGAGAACATAAAGAAAATATCTTATACATGTAATATATGGCTTATTTATTTTGTTTATTAAAATACCTTTTAGTATAATATTTGTCATGTTCAGGGTAGGATAGAGTAATGTTTTGTAGCGTTGAGAAGAATTTGAAGTTTCACGGACGGGAAGAAGCAGAAGGCATTAGATGAGAAGGAATGAATGGTGAAGGCTAAGTGTGATGGTTGGGAGTGAGCCTGAAAGGTGGGTAAATGTGAGAAGGCTGGATGAATTTAGGGTGTGGTAGACGAGAGAAGGATAAGGAGCAGACACATCATGATCAAAAACACACCTGCTTTGGGTGTGTGCCCTCATACCCTGTGTTTTCTGAGAAGCTCCCGCTTCCCCTTTAGGAGGGAACCAGGAGAGACCAGACTTGCCTGGTTAAGGCTATTGGCTCCTGAGCCAACCTGATTTTCCCAGGATTTAGAATTTGAAGTAGGAAGTGCTTGTTTCAAACCTCAGCTGGTCCCTTGAGCTGGGAACATGTAAACCTTAGAGCTGTGAGGTATTTAAGTGCGTAAAAAAACAGTGAAAGCTGATCCACTTAAAAGGAAGTATGAATCAGAGAGGAAGGGCCACTTGGCTCTAGAGAGAGAGAAACCTAAGCAGGTGATGCCTGGAGGTTTTTGTTCTCCTCCCCCTGATCTCCAGAAGCCTGGCTCTGCTCCTGCCTTTGAATTCAAGAGATATGTCCATTAGTGCTTACATTCACTCCAATGGGTTTCTGTTCCTCCCAACTGCAAGTTTCTGACACGGCCTAGCCTTGATTGTATACCTCCCAATTCCTGTCTGTTCAGTTTCTCCAGGGTCTCTCTGATCTTTAAAGAGAAAAGACTGAGCCGTGTCCCAATTGATGCCACTGTGATGTTGAGCTGAAAATAGTCTGGGATGAGTGAGGGCAAGTAAAGAAGAAAAGCAGAAAGAAATATTTATCCTGTTTAATTTCTTTGGACAGTTCATTCAACAAATTTTAAAAGTTTCTTCCATACTTGGGGCGCCTGGGTGGCTCAGTTGGTTAAGTGACTGCCTTCGGCTCAGGTCATGATCCTGGAGTCCTGGGATCAAGTCCCGCATCGGGCTCCCTGCTCAGCAGGGAGTCTGCTTCTCCCTCTGACCCTCCCCGCTCTTGTGCTCTCTCTCTCATTCTCTCTCTCAAATAAATAAAATCTTAAAAAAAAAAAAAAGTTTCTTCCATACTCAACACTGTGCAGTGTCCCAAGGGTATAGTGGTTAAGTAGGGCAGATGATTCCTGTCTTCATGGTGTGTACAGTCTGGTGGGGAAGGCAGACTTAAAATAAGCACTACTCATGCTGTGTGCTGAGTGTTATAATGGGAAAGAAACAGGCGTCATGGGAACATGGTCACAAAGGTTCCCTGAAGAAAGCCCCATTTAAAACCCTGCTGTTGGGGCGCCTGGGTGGCTTAGTCGTTAAGTCGAGCCCCACGTCAGGCTCCCTGCTCAGTGGGAAGCCTGCTTCTCCCTCTCCCACTCCCCCTGCTTGTGTTCCCTCTCTTGCTATCTCTTTCTCTGTGTCAAAATAAATAAATAAAATCTTGAAAAAAAAAACGACTCTGTTGTCTATAGAGAATTTGGGGTGATTGATGACTTGTTTTGTAGTTTCCTATGTGCCAATGTTTATGGATGAGTGAGAAATAAGAGCATTTCCCTATCTAATATTCTTTCAAAAAATCCTATCTTCTTGACGTATCCTGTGTGATAGCTGCTTATTGCCTATGACAAGATCAAGTTACAGCATACCCAACTGGGACCTGCCTGAGCTTGGAAACCAGGGAGGGTTCTTTCTGAGGGTATAGAGCTGAGGTTTCAGTTGTAGCCATAAATGATTATTTGTTCCAGGCTTCTAATAGATACCATTTCAACCACCACATTTGCATCTCTCTACAGAGGGAAAAAACAAAACATGAAAAGCATAGGCATTCCCATTTTCATGATTGAGTTATTTTAGATTTACTTTTTAAACTAGGTTTGCCATTCATGGGGTCAAACAAAGGGATGGAGGAGAGAAATCTCAAGCAGAAGCCAGGGTGGCAGGTGTTTGAGATTTTACTTAGTTTATTAAAGTATTGGGTATCATGTATGGGCTTTTCCCCTTGGGCATGGAGAATAGGGGAAAGCAACTTGGCTGCCAAAGATGTAGTGACTAGGAGGTTAAGAGGCCCAGAGCCTCAGGACTGAGGGTGTGCTGGACAATTGGAAAACCTCTGTGGGTTCTGTAGTTGGCCAGGG